ATTATCAATAATCAGATATTATTTACTAGTGATGGAAATTGAACAAATAAACATAGATTATGAAGATATTTTTGATGATGATTTGGAAATGTTGGAGATCCTTAAATATTTAAATTAAGAGATTTAAATAGAAACCCCCATTTTTTATTTTGAAAATTCGGAATACTGGCATCAAAACTAACAGTTTTGTTAAAAACATTTTTCAAATTAATCAAGAAAAAAAGCAAACATTTGGAAAATTATTTCAAACAGCCCTATAGGGACACAAAAGTAGTTTTATGATGGTCAAATTGCATAAATAAATAACCTCATGAGAAAATCTACCCCCCGACCATATTACAAAATAATATTTTATTGCTAATTTTTGCACTAAAGTCTATTTTCGTTTAAACTACGTTTAACTTTAAATCCCATTAGTTCAAGAACCCGTTATTTTCCCACATTTAATTAACCTAGTCAAGCTTTTTCCTAATATACATACATTTTATAAACAATTAGCTTGTTAATGGCGCCCTTATATCGAGTTTACTGTATAAAATTACCCGAAACGCAACAATACTAACAATATAATAATAATAATAAGTAAGTCTAACGCACTGACACAAATATAATGATAATAATGAAACGAAACGTCCACCCATATAACCATATAAGCACTGACGAGGGAAATACATACCAAATTAATTAATATATAATGAAGTATATCTACGACAACAACAAGAAAAAAAAATGGTGGAGACGCGAAGAGATAATTGTGTGGTAAGTTATAATGAGCGTATATCATCGGTCTAATAAAGACCATAAAACATAATAAAAGCGAACGTAATTAAAAAACAGTACAACAGAAATGGCGGGTCCGGTACGACCAGTTTCGGTTTCAGTTGTATTTATTTAAAATGTTATTTTGGTCAGGGAATAATTGACTTTATTCCGCTTTTATTTCGTATACCGTGCGATAATTAAAAGTGAAATCGAATCGATATATAGTTTATTAATTAAATGCGGGATTATTAGCAGAGTCCCCATGTGAATTCTCTCGTTCTTCGTGCTTCTTTGTTATTTCAAAATATTTATACAATATACAGGGTGTTAAATATTTGATTGTCGATACTTCGGGATGTGAATATTTGGATGATTTTAGGAAGAAAAGTTTATATAAATATATGTCCTAAACCTCTTAGTTTTCGAGCTATCTACAAGCAGTGTTGTTAAGTAATTAATTACAAGTAATTGAAAAAGTAATTGAATTAGTTTTATTGTAATTGAGGCGGTAATTAATTGAACACAAAAGTACTTATTTAATATTTTCAATACGTGGAAAGTTTAATTCCGATTGCAAATCCCTAAATAATTATTTAAAACTGACACCAAAGCAAAGTAATTGTGAGTGTAATTGTAATTGTAATTGTAACTTTAATTGTAATTGTAATTACATTCGCAAATTTTGTAATTGTAATTGCAATTAATTACAAATTGCCAAAAGTAATTGTAATTGTAATTAATTACATATTATAAAGTAATTTTAACATCACTGTCTACAAGGTGTTACAATTAAAGAAATAATGTAACTTTTCTATCATAATTTTCTTATTACTCCGGATATTTTTATGAAATTTTGTGCACGCTTTTTAATTATGAAGCATTTTTTGAGGCGAAAATTTTTAAAAAGTTTTTACCAGTGACGTCCCTATGGGGTTTGAATTGAATATGTTTGAAGAAAAAATTGTACGCCACTAGTTTTTTCTAAAAATCAAAATTATTTTTGAAATCCTCATTTATTTTGAAACAAATTCGTTTCGTATACTTACTTTCGTACGACGCACCATTTTCGCGTAAGAAAATAAAAAACCAAAACAATTTTTCCCAATTTTGCTTCCCAAATTTTCCCCAATTTTTCCCAAATTTGCCCATCTTGCATGGAAATATTTTTTATTTGGGACAAAAATTAATTTTCTACTATTACCAGTGGCGTACCCGTCCGAAATTTCATAAAAATATCCGGAGAAATAAGAAAATTACGATAGAAAAGTTATTTTTTTATCTAAAACTGTAACACCCTGTAGCTCAAAAACTAAGTGATTTAGAACATACATTGATATAAACTTTTCTTCTTAAAATCAACCAAATATTCCCATCCTGAAGTATCGGCACTCAATTAACTAAAACCCTATAAATAAACCAAATAAAGTAGGTGAGAGTGGGGCAAGTTATTAGATACATTTTACACGCCCTAATTAATTAACACCCTGTATAGGTACATTGGTTAATTAATAAATGGCATTTCTGCATTTTTTCCAATGATATTAAATTTGTTTTGCAGGAAATGTATACACAGTAAACGAGCGAAAATTGTGGTTAACGAATTTTCTTCGCGCGTCCATAACTCATAGTTAACGTTCGTTTTCCCGTAAATTTGTCGTGAATTTATATCTTCTATACGCATCTCGCGTAGCTTCCTCTTCTTCTTCTTCTTCTTCATCATCATCCGATAAATAGTAATAATTTACATCGTTTGATTTATCGCAATTACGCCGAAGAAACCGCCGATATATTTATGTTTATTTATTTAACCGTCCGTTAAAGAGACGCCGACACGAAATTGTTATGTAATTACGCAAAGAAAAAAAAATTCTATATACGCTTTTCTAAAGCGTTCGTTCGCAATTAATTCGCCCCGTTTTAACGGATTGGTTAAAAGATAATCGACGCTGTATAATTATTTAATCCCAATAATTCTGGATGTATAAGATACTTGTATATAGTTTTATGGCGCCCACTCGCGCCTCGTTTGTACTATATTTAGTGCGAAATACAGTTACGCAGGCAAACTATGCCGTATTTTCGCTGGGTAAGGTCGAAATTTTCCAAAAATAACCCACCGGCGTTATCTAAAACCGAAAGGAAATGTTCTTAACGCCAGTCGAAAAGTCCCCGTACAGGACCGGACCTTCCCATCACGATTAACTACAATATATCCTCTAAATTACATACTATTTTAACCGCGAATAAACACACTAATAGTATCGGTACTTACCTATCTAGAAACCCAGGTAAATGTACTTGAAAAAAGGTAATTATACTTTCCTTTCGGTAATTGCATTCGATAATTATAATTGTTCAAATAATATGTTCAAACATCAGCTCTGATCGGTACTTACCCGACTGTAACATAAGCTACTTCTTCTTCTTATTATTGTTGATTGTATGGCCTTTTACCTTAGCGAACATCCATCTAGGTTATTAGCGAATTTAATATGGAATTTAATAGTTTCTGGTCCGTCTCTGCGTTAATTCCAAACACATCCCAGAAACTAGCAGGCAGACGTTTTTAACTATATTTGTAGCGCTCCCGAAAATAGACGAGCATCTCTCTGTGGTGGAAAAAGCAGATAAACCGGCGAAAAGGATGTCGAGAAATAGAATTTCGATTCGAAATTCGAATTTACTGCGTTTTTTTTTTCTTTGAGAAAGAATGTAGTATAGAAACTTTATTATTATTTTTTCATTTAATCGATCTTCTAATAGCGAACGGACTATAGTGGATAGTCTTGATGGCGAACGGAGTATAATCAATACAGGGTGTTATTTAATTGAGTGCCGATACTTCAGGATGTGAATGTTTAGGTGATTTTAAGAAGAAAAGTTTCTATCAATATATGTCATAAATATCTTAGTTTTCAAGTTACAGGGTGTTACAATTTTAGAAAAAAATATGTTTTATATCATAATTTTTTTATTACTCCAGATATTTTTATGAAATTTGAACCTGGACGTCACTGGTCATAGTAGAAAAAGTCTCAAAATTTTAGTCTTTTTTTGTCTCAAAATGGACGTCTATGGTAATTTTTTTAAATCTTTAGTCTCAAAAAATGCTCCTTAAATAATTAAAGAATGATAAAAAAAATTTCATAAAAATATCCGGAGTAGTAAGAAAATTATGAAAAAATTGTAACACCCTGTAGCTCGAAAACTAAGAGATTTAGAACATATTTTAATATAAACTTTTCTTCTTAAAATCGTCCAAACATTCGCATCCTGAAGTATCGGCACTCAATTCATTAACACCCTGTATACATGGTGATCAAATATAAGCCAGTTATTTTTGCATGATTAGAACAAACGTTTGTTCACCTTGCCTTTAATTACCTTTAACAGCCTTTCGGGACATCGCGCATTTTTTATGCTCGTTCGGAAAATCGCTCAATGAAATCGCAATAAAGAATGGCCTAACACCTGCGTAACATTGAACATCGATTAACATTGGATCGTTTCTGTTTCTGATCGTTAGAAGGAAAAAAATAAAGAGAAATAAATGCGAAATTGTGTGGCGAATTTCCGTGTGACTTTTTCAGCGAAACACCGGAGTAATTTACGGGCTGGAAATGGTATTTATATGTACGTGTGGAATGTTTTTATTATTATTTTTTTTTTTTCATAGGCGTTGCGATTGATTTTGTTTGGATTTTAAAAGAGAATAGTTCATTCAATTCGAAAAAGGTAGAGAGAAAATTATTTGAAAAAAGTAGGGAGAAAATTGTTTGAAAAAAGTAGGGAGAAAATTATTCGAAAAAGATAGGGAGAATATTATTTGAAAAAAGTAGGGAGAAAATTGTTTGAAAAAAGTAGGGAGAAAATTATTCGAAAAAGGTAGGGAGAAATATTTGAAAAAAGTAGGGAGAAAATTATTCGAAAAAGGTAGGGAGAAATATTTGAAAAAAGTAGGGAGAAAATTATTCGAAAACGGTAGGGAGAAAATTATTCGAAAAAGGTAGGGAGAAAATTATTCGAAAAAGGTAGGGAGAAAATTATTTGAAAAAAGTAGGGAGAAAATTATTCGAAAAAGGTAGGGAGAAAATTATTTGAAAAAAGTAGGGAGAAAATTATTCGAAAAAGGTAGGGAGAATATTATCCGAAAAAGGTAGGGAGAAAATTGTTTGAAAAAGGTAGGGAGAAAATTATTCGAAAAAGGTAGGGAGAAAATTATTCGAAAAAGGTAGGGAGAAAATTATTCGAAAAAGGTAGGGAGAAAATTATTCGAAAAAAGTAGAAAGAAATTTGTAGCAATTTTTGTATATTACCTACTCGATTAAAAGAAAAAACATTTTAATTAAGATATCAAATCTATATTTCATAAATGAAACAACACTTTTTACAAACATACCAAGTAGACAATAAATATATAAATTATATAAAAAAAATCGAAACGCAAATACTTATAAAACGCGGTTAAAACGAAAACTTTTTTTGGTTAACAACAATCGACAATAACATAACACAAGAGTTTTGTTAAACAGTTACGAATACACGATACAATAAAAGTACAATATTATACATTATAATATATTACAAAAAAAATTTTTTGGTCCTCTCTAAGTTATGTTTTTTTTTTCTCATGATAATGGAATTTTAAGGCACTAAAATCGTAGAGTATCCATCGCGAAATCAATAAATATACTCTTGCAAATTGTAAATTAGTAGAAACCTAAAAAGAAGGTTTTCATCACGAAACCAAAACGACCTCACCCTACCTTTCCACCCCGAATTATACTCCGTTCGCTATCAAGCCGACAAAAACCGAAACCCGACAGCGAACGGACTATAACCCCCCACCACGAACCGTCATTTCCTCTTGGACAAATCGAGCTCGCCCTGCCCGTTGGCCGCCATCATCGACAACGGTATGGTGATGAACTGCGCCCGATTCGACGCCGCGTCCGCCGGCGCCAGGCTCAATATGACGCCGCCGGCGCCGGGCGTCGCGGCGTACACGACGCCCTGCGGCGTCTGGTACACCAGCGGCGACATGATCTGCGATTTCGACGCCGGCGGCGGCGACGCCGACGCCTCGGGGGCGGGCGCCGGCGCCGCGTCCATCTCGACGTCGCTGCAACTGTCGCTCGATTCCGCTCCCGACAGGTTCTCGGTCTGGAAAGAAGAAAAACGAAAGAAGAAAAAAACGGGATGTTTTTTGCAATATCGTGGTCGGGAAAGTTGGTGAAGGAGTTGATGATGGCGTTAGAAAAATTAAAAGAGATATTAAAAATAGTTTTTTTTATTAATTTTTGCAAATAGGATACAAATACCTAGAAGGCACGATTATAAGTACAAATTGTTTCGATCACACTATTTAATATCGTTTTTAAACATATCGTTTTAATTTCATCGACTAGAACGAAAACAGTTATCGAAAATAGTCCGATCGAAATAGCGAGAAACATTATCACATATTTTAACGAATTGGATCACAATATTCAAAATTTCCTCAACATCTCACCCCCCATTTTTATTCGAAATATATCCAACTTGCAGGTAATACAATAGAAAATAAACCCCTGGGCACTATCGAATCAATTATTCTCCTATAACAGCAAACACAGCATAAAGAAATAGCTACGTTTTTACAAATTCCAATAACAAAATAACCCACCAGTTCCTCGAAATCCCACCTCTAATACTCCAATTTAACTGATCCTGGATCCATTCCAGTCCTCGACACAATTTATCGGTAACAATCTTATTATTACGAAACAACAAAAAAGTAATAACAGTGCACTTTCAACTGGTCTTATCGTTAATACCATCATCTCGAGTCTTCTGGGGGGTGACGTTGGATATCGGTATGGCGACGAATTGGGGTTGGGCGATATTGGGGCCCTGCAGGAGCCCCAAAATGGAACCATCGGTGGTGGTGGCGTATCCGATACCTGCTGGTGTTTGCAGTACAATAGGCAACGCCTGGACCACTCCTGGTGAAGATGTTGATGGTGATGTTGTGGTTGTAGATGAAGAAGATAGAGAGCGAGAAGAAGTGGAGGCGAGTAGAGAAGTAGAAGTAGCGACGGGATGAGGAGTTAGAGATGTAGATGGAGTTGTGGTGGAGCTGGGAAGAGAAATTGTGGGAGTAGTAGAATGAAATGGGGTGGAGCTGGGAAGGGAAATTGTGGGAGTGGTAGTGGAAGAGGAATTGGGAGGTTTATGGGGATTGATTTGTTGGGAATCGTCGGCGGTTTCCATTTCGTCGCTGCTGCTTTCGCTGGCCGAATCGTCTTCCTGCAACAAAATACATACAAATTCTTAACGTTCGACGGTTTTCGCTTTGCAGGAGAAATGTAGTTTTTTAAATACAGGGCGTTTTCGGTTTTCAACAAACGCATCGCCCAGCTGCTGGTGGATTATATAATAAGTAATAAGCTTCGATTTTCGTCGGTGTTTGATGGCGAATTAGAATTATTCGTATTATATCGAAAAATTTTCGAAAAGAAAATGTGAAACGCCTACATTCCGCATTGTTAAATAATTTTTAGATAAGCTGCGTCAAAAAAAAACAAACAAACCATGCAAAGTTAACAAAAATATAATTCGTTCACGTACCTTACCCTACACTGAGAGAAAAATAATATTACACATATTTACGTATAAAAAGGATATCTACCTATACAGGGTGTTAATTAATAAGTGTGACAAACTTCAGGAGATGATTCTGCATGATATTTTGCTATATAAACGCAAATGCTTCGTTTTCGAGATACGGGGTGTTAAAAGTTTCTTCTTAAAAACCGAAGATTTATTTATTTCTCTAAAACCAAACGAGATATTCAAATGAAATTTGGTGGGTTTTGAGAGGTAACTATTGCGCATTTTTTGACATAAAATTAAAAATTTTATGTTCATCATTGACGCGCATACGGGTTATATTGGTACGCCACTGAGACGTTTATAATTGAAAATTCAATTATGAATTAATTCCTCGTTCAATTTGTGACAAAAACACTCTCTTGTGTTTTTTTCGTAAGGTCCCCTGTTTTCGAGTAAAAAAAATAAAACATCTTAATGTCGTAATTTTTAATTTCCTCAATACACGTTATCTACAGGGTGTTCCAAAATGATCTGCTAATGTTATAGAGGGTGATTCCTGGACCTATTTTAAGGAAAACACTTCAAATGAACCTATGTCCAAAACGTCTTAATTTTTGAGATACAGGGTGTTAAAGTTTTTAGAAAAAAAATCAATTTTTTGTAATAACTCTGATACTATTGTAGATATCTTTATGAAATTTGGTACACGTCTTCTATGAATCAAAATGAATTATCTGATATACAAATAGTTTTATTATATTCAACAGTGGCGTCCGTACGAGTTTTTCATTGAATATTTTTGGAGAAAAAAATGGTACGCCACTGCCTAATATCGAAATAAAAAATTATTTCGGAATCCTCATTCAATTTAGAACAAATTTGATATCTTGACATTTTTCCCTACGACTCATCGTTTCGCATTAAAAAAAATAAATGCATTCATTTCTACACTGCCACTTAGCCTCTTTACTAAAATTAACCACCAACAATCACCCCCTTAAATATTATGTCATTATGGAACACCCTGTATAATAGTAGTGAAGAAACTTTTACACCCCGTATCTCGACAATAAACCATTTGCAGACATTTGTATGTTTATAGTACAGCAAAATCTATCATTATTTTTTCATGCAAAACCACCCCCCCAAAGTTTTGTCGCACTTTTTTAATTAACACCCTGTATAATTTCGCGACGAGAACGCATCGGGCCCATAACGAGCGAGCGTTTTTCGCCGTCGAGGAAATTATTCAATTAGATTAAAACCGCATACCGAATTTAACCTGCAGTCCATCAATCCGTCAATATAATGAAACCCGACTTGGCTTCTGTCGAACGAAATGCCGGCCAATTTTCATATATCGCATATCGCATGCCGGCGCGTTGAATTAGAGAGAGACCGATCGCCAAATTATACAGAGTGTCCCGTGCGAAAAAATTCATTTTTTTTTAAACGTATGCCGAAGGATGCGAGGTCGATTTTGCGATAGCGAGTGCAATCGTTAATGTATATAGAGAAGCTTTAGCGTATGTCGAAGGAAACGAGGTCGCGGGATTCGATGTTGAATAGTGCGTTTGTCTAACGAAACGAAATATGTATACAGCAGTGTTGTTAAGTAATTAATTACAAGTAATTGAAAAAGTAATTGAATTACTTTTATTGTAATTGAGGCGGTAATTAATTACAAGATCCTCAATTGTAATTCATTTGTAATTCAATTACTCCTTTCGTTACAATTACAATTACATTTTACAATTACATTTCAATTACATTGGACACAAAAGTACTTATTTAATATTTTCAATACGTGGAAAGTTTAATTCCGATTGCAAATCCCTAAATAATTATTTAAAACTGACACCAAAGCAAAGTAATTGTGATTGTAATTGTAATTGTAACTTTAATTGTAATTACATTCGCAAATTTTGCAATTGTAATTGCAATTAATTACAATTTGCCAAAAGTAATTGTAATTGTAATTAATTACATATTATAAAGTAATTTTAACATCACTGGTATACAGGGTGGTGATTTTAGGTTGGAATCGGGCGAGAATTGGATCATGTATAAAGAACACCCTGTATAATTTTATAGCGGCATTACAGTCGTGTGAAAAAGCGATGATGTGAAAAAGGCGATTTTGTCGGGTTGGCGAAAATTAAGGAAAATTACTTTAGCCGGTCGCGTTTCGAATATTTTCGAAATTGCGCGCCGATTTATAGAAGAAAATTTTTATTAGAATTGAAATCGCTCGAATGAAATACGTTTCGTTTCTCTCTACCTTTTGCCGGTGGTTTGCAAACTTTTCGAATTTATCTCCCGTATATTACAGAAGTAAATACACCGAGAATAATAATTTATACATTTATACAGTGCATTTCTTTAATGTCCCCCCCCCTTTTATTTTTTGAACGGATCAACTTAGAAAATTGAAATTTGGGATAATGAAACTAATGTATGATTACTATATTTTGGAGTAAAATTGACAGAGTTGAAATTTGGGATAATGAAACTAATGTATGATTACTATATTTTGGAGTAAAATTTGGAGTAAAATTATTAAATGTTCCGCCATTTTGAAATGGGTGCAGATATTGACTTTATATTCCAGGGTTGTAGAGTATTTGTCAGGAGCTTCAAAATGATGTATCACAAGACCCCCCCTTTCCATTTAAATTTATTTCCCAAGATGGCGCCCAGTCGCCATCTTGAAATTTTCATCTGTCAATTTTACTCCAAAATATAGTAATCATGCATTAGTTTCATTATCCCAAATTTCAATTTTCTAAGTTGATCCGTTCAAAAAATAAAAGGGGGGGACATTAAAGAAATGCACTGTATAGTCGGTTTAAATTCAAACACATCCCAAATCAAACGATAATGCCTTGTGACATTTTCTAGTTAGATTCTTTCACGCAATAGTACACTCACGAATACTGTATACAGGGCGATTCGTGATAATATTTTTTTTGATACGAATTAATTATGTAAAAAAAAACAAATCGAAAAATCGCCCTGTATACATTTAACATTATTTACAACCGACATCTCGGCGGCTTCTCTACTCGATTTATCCCTTTATCTCGAATCGCATCTAATCGAATTTTTATCGCGGCTCGGGAACATCGTAAACATTATATGTAAAGTAGTTATTCTATTGAAATTAAACGTTATTTTATTAATGCTTTTTGTCTATTAGACCGATTTTTCATCGACGCGGTTTATTAACCATAACGGCGGGATACGAATTATTTAATTCCAATAGGAAAGAAGAACGGTCGAGCATTTAAAAAAAATTAACTAGGTATATTTTTTTTGTACATATATACAAAACACACGTGCGAGTGTGCTGGTAGACACTACCGATAACCGTAAGTTCGGTTGATTAGACATATCCAATAAACGTCAAATTTAACGATGTTAACTCGTTTGGTGTAGAGGTGGGAACTAATATTTTGGGGCATATTGAACGCAAAAAGACACAAGTTCGGTTGATTAGACACTTCCAATTTAATGCTACCTTATTCGATACTATACGGGGTGATTCTCTGTGTATATTCCAGGTAGTTATATAACCGTACGTTCGGTTGATTAGACACTTTCGATAAATGTAAAATTTTCTAATTTTGTTGATGTAGAGGTGGGAATTAATATTTTGGGGTATGTAGAACACAAATAATCACAAGTTCGGTTGATTAGACACTTCCAATAAATGTCATATTTTCTAATTTTGTTGATGTAGAGGTGGGAACTGATATTGGAGGTATATAGAATGCAAATATACAGAAATTCGGTTGATTAGACACTTCCAATAAATGTAATATTTTCTAATTTTGTTGATGTAGAGGTGAGAACTGATATTAGAGGTATATAGAATGCAAATAGACAGAAATTCGGTTGATTAGACACGTCCAATAAACGTCAAATTTTCTCATTTTTTTGATGTAGAGATGGGAACTAATATTTTGGGGTATATAGAATACAAATAGTCACAGGTTCGGTTGATTAGACACTTCCAATAAATGTCAAATTTTCTCATTTTGTTGATGTAGAGGTGAGAAATGATATTGGGGTTTATAGAAGTGCAAATAGACAAAAGTTGGGTTGATTAGACACTTCCAATAAATGTCAAATTTTCTAATTTTGTTGATATAGAGGTGGGAACTGATATTGGAGGTATATAGAATGCAAATAGACAGAAATTCGGTTGATTAGACACGTCCAATAAACGTCAAATTTTCTAATTTTGTTGATGTAGAGGTGGGAATTAATATTTTGGGGTATATAGAACACAAATAGTCACAAGTTCGGTTGATTAGACACTTCCAATAAATGTCATATTTTCTAATTTTGTTGATGTAGAGGTGGGAAATGATATTGGAGGTATATAGAATGCAAATAGACAGAAATTCGGTTGATTAGACACGTCCAATAAACGTCAAATTTTCTAATTTTGTTGATGTAGAGGTGGGAATTAATATTTTGGGGTATATAGAACACAAATAGTCACAAGTTCGGTTGATTAGACACTTCCAATAAATGTCATATTTTCTAATTTTGTTGATGTAGAGGTGGGAACTGATATTGGAGGTATATAGAATGCAAATAGACAGAAATTCGGTTGATTAGACACTTCCAATAAATGTAATATTTTCTAATTTTGTTGATGTAGAGGTGGGAAATGATATTGGAGGTATATAGAATGCAAATAGACAGAAATTCGGTTGATTAGACACGTCCAATAAACGTCAAATTTTCTCATTTTTTTGATGTAGAGATGGGAACTAATATTTTGGGGTATATAGAATACAAATAGTCACAGGTTCGGTTGATTAGACACTTCCAATAAATGTCAAATTTTCTCATTTTGTTGATGTAGAGGTGGAAAGTGATATTGGGGTTTATAGAAGTGCAAATAGACAAAAGTTCGG